ACAAAATATCATTGCATATTTCCACATATTTCATAAAATTTCTACAATGTCTCTAATTTTTACAATATTTCCCCTCGACATTTCCGACATTTCCGACATATGTCCTATATTTTGGTAAGCGACATTTCCATCGACATCGACATTTTAAACCTTGACAATAACACACCAAGCATTCTCGACACTTCTTCTTCTTCTTCTATTTCAACATCTCTAAACCTTCCAACTATTATAAAAGATTTCCAACAGATGATCTTCACTCAGTTTCAAACTGGAATCCAAATAATCCAATCCGGTAATGCCAAAGAATATTTTCATCATGACCTCACAGAGCCCTTTGCTTTGTGTGGATCACTTCACTATAGCTCATATGCTCACACACACCAACAAAATGGTGTTGCGAAAAGGAAGAACTGCCACCTTCTTGAAGTGGATCGAGGATTATTGATTCATATTAACGTCCCAAAACATTTCTGGCTTGAGATTGTCCTATTGCTGCATATTTCATCAATCGCATGCCATCTTGTTGGTTAAAGTGCAAGGCCCCACATCAGCTCCTTTTTCCCAAGGCTCCCTTGTTCCCTATTCCTATCCATGTGTTTGGTTGCCGTTGTTTTGTTCAAAACCTGTCTCCAACTCATGGTAAACTAGATCCTCATGCTATTTCCTTGCATTTTCCTGGGCATAGTTGTCAAGGTGTCGCCTAAGCGCCTGCCTAGGCGAATAGGTGCCCTTGGCTGGGCACCTCGCCCAGACGCCTTGCCTTTTAGAAACTAGGTGCTCACCTAGGCAACTAGTCACCCACCTAGGTGACAAAAATGACAAGGCGAGCATCTTTTATAATATCACTAATATTGTTGTATCTTATTAATGTATGTTTTAATACATTTTATTATATGCTATATATGTCAATTATACTTTGTTTTAATGTTTTACTATTGAAATTTAAAAGATCAAAGTGTTTTGAGAAGAGAAAAAGAAAGAAAGAAAGAGAGAGAAAGAAAAGAAAGAGGAAAGAAAGAATAGAATAATAAAGTTCTTTCTTTTCTATTCTCTCTCTCTAATTAAATAAAGCAGAAACTCCATCCTTGTTTTTTTTTCTATTTAAATTCCCATCTTGAATATTTATCATATAAAGTTAATAACCTTCTTTAGCTGCTAATTAATATGAATTTTCTCTATTAAATATTTATTATAGTAGTATTATTTTTGAAAATAATGAAATTAGTATATGTAAAAGATTTTTATCTTTTAGATGTGATGATTTTCCACATTTTTAGAGGAAATTTAATGTTCTTAATAAAGAGAATTGCTATTTTTTCAATTAACATGCACGCCGAGTGGTATATAAAACTAGGAAACTAACCAAAAGTTAGTTTTTTATATTATAAAATTTTTATCGCCTAGGCACCCCAGAGTCGCCCAGAAACGCCTAGACACCTTGAAAACTATGTTCCTGGGGCACCCACGTCTCAAAAGGAGTATCGGTGCTTTGATCTTGTCTCTCAGAAATACTATGTTTCTATGGATGTATCTTTCTTTAAAGGTGAGCCTTTCTTTCTAGTCTCTCCTCAGGGGGAGTGTAGGAGTGAGAAGAAACAAGTTCAGCTCCCTCCTCTTCCCTTCCGTGTTTTCCTTCATCGCCACAAACAAGTTCCGCCAAGTTCAAGAGCAATTGAGCATCTAGAAGCTATACAACCAATGCCATCGGATTCCCTGGGGGTGGATCATACCCAACTAGGAACCCTTGTTCCTATCGATGTATCCAATCCTATTGCTAATGACCTACCTTCCTATTGCTCAAAGGAAGGGAGTAAGGTCTTGCACCACTAAGCATCCCATTTCCCATTGTATTTCTTATGAAAACATTTCACCTTTTCATGCCTTTCTTCCATTAACAGTGTTCCTATTCCTAAGAATGTGGCAGAAGCTCTCTTAGTGCTTGAATGGACAAATGCAATGAAAGAGGAAATCAATGATTTACATAAACATGGTATATGGGAACTGATGGATCTTTTTAAAGGGAAGGAACCAGTTGGGTGTAAGTGGGTTTTTACAGTAAAACATAGGGCAAATGGTACTGTGGAACGGTATAAAGCTCGATTACTGTCAAAAGAATTTACTCAAGTGTATGGAGTATATTATGTAGTGGCTTTTGCACCAGTTGCTAAGATGAACTCTATCAAAGTCCCTTTTCTCCTTAGTCGCTAATCTTGATTGGGATCTTTATCAACTTAATATCAAAAATGCTTTTCTAAATGGTGATCTTGAAGAAATAGTGTACATGGTGCAACCCCTTGGTTTCCAAGCTCAAGGCAATGAACAAAAGGTGTGCAGGTTGGAGAAGTCTTTATATGGCCTAAAACAATCACCAAGGGTCTGGTTCAACAGATTTCATGTAGTTGTACAACAAAGAGGCTATAAGAAGAGGGGAGAAGGTAAAATTGCAGCCTTGATAGTATATGTTGATGATATAGTTATCACTAGTGACTAGAGAGATGAACTTCATAAGTTGAAAGAGTTCCTACCCACTCAGTTTGAGGTGAAAGGTCTAGGTCCTCTAAGATATTTTCTCGGAATTGAAGTTTCTCGCTCACAAAAGGGGATCTTCATTTCCTAGAGAAAATGTGTTAGATCTGTCATAGGATACAAGAAACTAAAGAGTAAAACCAATTGATTCCCTTATTGAACCTGATCACAAATTAGGTGATTGCTAAGGTGAGGTTGTCAAGGATGTGAAGCAGTTTTAGAGGCTTATAGGAAGACAATTATATATGTCTATGGCCCGGCCAGACATTGCTTATACTGTGGGTGTTTTGAATCAATTTATGCATGCCCCTAAGACCGCTCACCTTGAAGCAGCTAAAAGAATTCTCATATATCTTAAAAAATTTCCAGGTACTGGTCTGTTATTTCAAAAGCATGAACATTTGAAGGTTGAAGTGTATAAGGATGCAAACTGGGTAAGATCACAAGATGACAGGAAATCTACTAGTGGCTATTGTACCTTTGTGGGGGGAATTTAGTCACATGAAGGAGCAAAAAACAAAATGTGGTGGCTAGGTCTAGTGCTGACGTAGAATATAAAGCAATGTCTTGAAGGTTGAAGTGTATAAGGATGCAGACTGGCAGGATCACTAGATGAAAAGAAATCTACTAGTGGCTATTGTACCTTTGTGGGGGGAATGTAGTCACATGGAGGAGAAAAAAACAAAATGTGGTTGCTAGGTCTAGTGCTGAAGTAGAACATAGAGCAATGTCTCATGGAGTGGCTGAAATTATGTGGTTAAAAAATTTGTTGAGTGTGTTGCGATTTACTATTGACGAACCTATGACTTTATATTGTGATAACAAAGTTGCCATCAATATTGCTGCCAACCCAGTTCTGCATGATAGAACCAAGCACATCAAGGTTGACAAACATCTTATCAGGGAAAAAGTTGTCAAAGGCTAAGTGTGTACACCCTATGTCATATCTGAAGAGCAACTTGCAGATATATTCACAAAGAACTTACATCACTTGGGGCATAATGATTTATGTGACAAGTTGGCATTAAGTGACATCTATGTCCCAACTTAAGGGGGAGTATTAAAAAGGTTGTTTTATTTATGTTTTATGCCAGTGTTAGTACCGTAAGGGTACAGTTGTAATTTCTCATTATTTTATGGTCGCCCTAATATAAATATAAGAGTTGGGACCGGCAGCTCAATCTTTAGGCTCTCAAACTTCTTTCTTCTTATTTTCTCTTCTCTCTTCTCCCTTGAACCTTCTCTTTCTGCTTAATAAAATCATTGATAATTTCTAGAAACATGGAATTAGATTATAAAAGTTCATGGATTTGTTAGAAAAACATAGCAAACAACTATGTATATCAAATAAAAGAAAATTAAGAATTTAAATAGGCATCTCTCCTAGATATATGGGGAAATTTCAGAGAAATTTCACTGATATTGCAAACCATGTTTGTGAGGGGAGAGGTTTGTACCTGGCTTTTTCCATGCAATTGGGTCTTCCTCACTTTCTTTTTCTCTTATTTTTTCTGTTTCCTCTCCCACAGTAAACTACTTGTATGTCTTTTACATTTTTTTGTTATATATATATATATATATATAGTATTATGATTCGCCCTGCCCTTGAGTTCTGTTAGTCTGATAACAGCCAAGAAGAGAGAAGAAGAAAGAAGAAAGAAAGAGAGAGAGAAAAGAGGAGAAAAGGAGAAAAGGAGAGAAGAAAAGTCTGGTTCGAATAAGAGAAAAATTACCTCTCCCATTCGGCCAGACATGTTTTATATTACTAACATAATGGAAAAGACACATGTGCCCTTACTTAAGTGAGGGGCACTAGTTCTAATATAATATTACAGATCAGCAACCTCAACATAAGTATAAAGACAGAAATACCCCTACACTAACATATAGAAAAAAAGGAACTTAAAGATACATGGAAAAGAGAAATAAGAATAGAAAAACAATAATGAAATAGACTATGAACAGTAGAGAAAATAGTTCAAGATGAGCCTGGAAAAAAGTATCATAGAGAAAACTGAAAAACGAAAAGATAATATATCAAATATGATCCTTCAATAACAGAAATAGAAAAAAGAAATTTAAAGTTACATGGAAAAATGGTACTGAAATAACCTATAAAAACAACAAGATACAGTTCAAGATGATCCTGGAAAACAGCCATCACAGATAAAACTGAAAAAGAAAATATAATTTATTAAATATGATCCTAGGGAAGAACAAGAATTACTTAATTACGGATGTAAGGCCCAAAGAAATTGCAAATAAATAGCCATCTAGGTGCCCAGAACCTGAAAGAAAACAGAAGCAACAATAGCAGCAAGCTCTGTAAGTCTCGGTTAACATCAGAAATTCAGAATTAATAATCATACAGAAATTGACTTTAAAAATAGAAATAACAAAATTGACTCAAGAGAATGATTTATGCATGAAAAAAGATGTCTATGACAGAAAAGATCTAATTGCACCATTCTTCTTTTGTATCTTTGATTCTTTATCTCATTCAATATTTTAATATACTGAGTTTAACATTGCCAGACTTGTTATAGCTCTCAAGGATTTAAGGAAACAATTGTCTAGTTAATACTGAAGGATCAAAATTGGAGAAAATATCCTCAGTGTTTTACCAATTCAAACTATGAGTTGGTGAAAACATAGTTGATAAAAAACATAAACAGCATAAAAAACAATACAAGGAAAATTAATGCAGAGGTAGCCTCCACATCCCCCAAAAAGAATAGACTACAAGTACATTGGAGACCCCCTACAGAGAGTGTAGTAAAGCTGAACTTTGATGGGACCAGTCAAGGTAATTCAGGACCTTTGGGTATAGGAGGGATCTTAAGAGATAATGATAGCAACATTCTATTCTTATTTTCAGGACCAGTGGGAGTTGGTGACTCTACAAGGGCTGAGATACTGGCTGCGGTACAAGGAATACAGGTTGCCAACCAACTAGGAGTGGAAAATTTAAGGTGGTAGTGGGTTGGCTGTCGAATCCAGAAACAAGGATCTTCTGGGGCTAAAGGGATCTTATCAAGAAAGTTAATTGGCTTACAAGGAACATGCCAGTCAGCTTTCAGTGGGTTAGCAGAACAGCAAATGCTATGACTGATTCTTTGGCTAAACAAGGGGTCTCAAGGGTTGAATTGTTTTGGGTACCTTATGATTGTATTCTGTTAAGAGTATGGTTATGCTCTAATCTCTAAGGGAAGGTAACATCTCGTGCCTCCTCTTAGGGTGAATGTACACTTCCTTCTCTTATTAACAAAATCATTACTCATTTATCAAAAAAAATTAATATATGGTTCAATTACAACAAAGACAGTGAAATAAGTTGGTAAACTGAATGAAACCTCAAATGGTTGTCTAGAATATCCAAAATATGTGTATTATATTTATTCTTTCCATGTAAAGGAAACTCCCCAGTAACCTCGCAAGAGAATTCTGTTATGTGGTTTAGAAAACTGAGAGTGCTTTCAATTTAGAATCTACAACATTTGCAAAACTTCATACCCTCTTTGTTCTTTTGATAGACAGATTTTATTTCTATTTATTTTAAGTCTCCCAAAGTCTCACCTTGTATACCTTCCCTACTGTTAGTTTTTAGGTCCGCATTGCTATTGATCACTAGACACTGCAGATTTTAGCAAAGCCACTTTGAAGATGAACAGGATGGATATTTGAAGGTGTTGTAATACGTAGTGTATTGGGTGCAGGGGTATTGCAGTCTTTTTCTGTTGAAGAGTGTTCCTTTTCAGATCTGTAGCAATTTCTTCCTTTTCTGTCAAGTGGAGAAAGGGGTCTCTTATTATTTTTTGATGATTGGTGGGCCATCTGTTGACCTTAATGGCCCAATAATACTGCTGGACAGAGTGTTTTCTCTGAGTTTAACATTGCTAACTGCTGCTGGTTCTTTAGTCTGGTTGGGAGCTATTTTTTTAGCAGTGAGTTGATCAGTAAGCCTCGTTTTGTGCTTGTGGAAGCTGTAGATGGTGTGTTGTTGGTTTTTCTCATGGCTGCAGAAGATTCAGCAACTTCAGGTATCTCCTCCACTAATTCTGTATTCAGTCCTAATGTTGAGAATGTGAGTTTTCCAATCTCTATCACTCCCCTTGATGGACTAAATTATTTGGAGTGGTCCAAGGATGTAAAATTGTTCATTTGGGGGAGGGGAAGTTAAGCTATTTGGATGGAGACATTGCAGAACCCAAGGAGAAGGTCCAGAACATGCCAAGTGGATCCAAGAGAATTATATGATTATGTCCTGGCTTTTCCCAAACATTTAACCTTCATTAAGGAGAAATATGATTATGTCCAGGAGAATTTCACGTGGGAAGACATGACTACGGAGATTTGGGATCAAGCCAAGGCCACCTATGCTGAGCAAAGGCCTCATACTTGAGTTTTCCAGTTTCTAGCAGAGTATTGCTTATAAGCAAGGGTAACGGAGTCTTTCTACTGATTTTTCTAACCTGACCTCTGTGTGGAAGGAACTAGATCATTACCAGTTGATTGATTGAGAACGTAAAAGGGATGCCAAGGCCTACAGGGCTCTTCTCAGCAGAGAATATTTGCTTTCTTTCTTGGACTTCAACCTTCGCATAAGCCTTTTTGGGTCCAAATTTTGGGGTGTAAGGAACTGTCCACTATACATGAGATGTATTCACTTATACAGTCAGAAGAAAGTAGGAAACTGCCAGCTATGAATCCTGTGCAGGGGGAGTAGATTGCACTAGCAACAAAGAGTAACAGTGGAGGAGTTAAGAAAACTGAAGGAGTAGATAAAGATAAACTGTGGTGTACTCATTACCAGAGGAGCAGACATACTAAGGAGACATGTTAGGGATTTATTTGGAAAACCAAAGAAATTCCACAAAAAAAACAAGAATACAATAAGTATAATTCAGCCAATGTAATTACTCAAGAGCCTGAGCCAGTTTCAACTTCTACAGCCTCCTTCCATGAACACCCAACTAATTTTGTATCCAAAGAGGATCTCCTATTTGCTCTGAGGGATTTGTCTTCTATGAGGGATCACCTTGAGCAATATGGTACAGTATTACTCCAGTGGGTGGAGGAGGCTACTCTCACTCCATCCACCTCATATATGTCTACATCAGGTAACCAGGTTGTTTTCCATGTTAATTTCTTCTGAATCCCCTTGAATTATTGATACCAAGGCATCAAACCATATGACTGGGCTAGATCAACAGATGAACGTAGTCTATTACTGATTATTATACTTTTCTTGGGGGCAACTTGGTGACATGGAGAAGTAAAAAACAGTCTATTGTGGCCAGATCTAGTGATGAAGCTAAGTATTGTGCTATGGTCCATGGAGTTTCTATGGTGTTGTGGACCAAAAACCTCATGGGAGAGTTGGGGTTGGGTGTGGATGGTCTTATGTCTATCTACTATGATAACAAAGCAGCCATTAACATAGCTGCCAATCCTGTGCTGCATGATCAAACCAAGCACATAGAGGTTAACAAACACTTCATAAGGGAGAATATTGAAAAGGGAGAAGTGTGTACTCCATATGTTAACCCTAAAGATCAATTGGCTAATGGATTTACAAAGGGTGTGAACTTTATGCGCCATACTAAACTATGTAAGAAGTTGAGAATTATTTTGGCATCTATGACCCAACTTGAGGAGGAGTGTTATAATATTTAGTATTTTAGGTGAAGGGGTATTTGATAATTCAGATGTAGTGTCCATACGATTTCAGATAATAATAATAATAATAAGAAGAAGAAGAAGAAGAAGAAGAAGAAGAAGAAGAAGAAGAAGAAGAAGAAAAGGAGAGGAGAAACTGTTCCAATCGAACTAGAGAGAAAAATCTACTCCTCTAGTCGGCCAGCCTTTATTTATACTTTTCTAAACAAACCAGAATTACTCTTATACCCTCACTTAAGTGAGAGACACATCAGCTAACTTAATATCTACTCATAAGTACAATTAACATATAACTTAATGTAAAAAGCCTATACTACCCTTCTACAGCCAACTCTAACACTCCCCCTCAATCCGATGAGTATATGTCATATAATTCCAGCTTGTTACATATGTAGTCCACATTTCCCCGATTCAACCCTTTGGTAAACAGATCTGCCCATTGATTTCCTGTTTTCACATATGTTGTACTTATCACTCTATTAAGCACCTTCTCACATACAAAGTGGCAATCAACTTCTATATGCTTCGTTCTTTCATGAAACACTGGATTAGAGGAGATATGAACTGCAGCTTAATTATCACAATATAGCTTCATAGGAGTGTCAATCGAGTACCCCATTTCCTCTAGGAGATGCTTCAACCACACTAGTTCACATGTTGTGTGTGCCATGGCTCTATATTCAGCCTTTGCACTGCTTCTTGCTACCACTGTCTACTTCTTACTTTTCCACGTCACTAAGTTCCCACCAAGAAAAGTGCAATACCCTGTAGTGGACCTTCCGTCAGATATGGAACCGACCCAATCAGCATCCGTGTATCCCTCTATCTCAAGACTTCCTCCACTCTTATATAACAAACCATGACCTGGAGCTCCCTTCAAATACCGCACAATCCTTTGAACCGCCTCCCAATGTGGAATTCAAGGATTTTGCATAAACTGACTCACTACACTGACTGCAAATGAGATATCGGGTTGAGTGATGGTTAGGTAATTCATCTTACCTACCAACCTTTTGTACCTTCCCAGATCCTCAAACTCCTCACCTATTGCATCACTACTCAACTTAACATTCGGTTCCATGAGTGTTTCAGTTGGTCTAGCACCTAACAACCCTGTTTCCTCTAGCAGATCAAGGACATATTTCCTCTAGCACAGATTAATACCATTCTTGGACCTCGCTACGAAGTATCCTAATTTGCCAAGATCCTTTGTTTGGAAGTGATCATGCAAGTAAGTCTTCAACTTGTCAATCCCTGGTCTGTCACTGCCTGTGATAACAATATCAACTACATATACCACCAATAGGATCTTCCCAGCACTAGACTCATATCTGAATACAGAATGGTCAACCTGACATTGTTTCATTCCAAACTTCTTCACCACTTCACTGAATCTACCAAACCATGCACGGGGGGATTTTTTAAGCCCATAAATAGCCTTCTTAAGTCTACATACCTTATCACCCTCCCCCTGAGCAACAAACCCTGGTGGTTGCTCCTTGTACACTTCCTCAAGGAGATCACCATGTAAAAAGGCATTCTTGATGTCAAGCTGAAACAAGGGCCAATCAAACATAGCAGCAAGAGAGATCAGAACACGAACAAAACCAATT